AATTATCACCCCGAAGTCTAGAAATTTGCAGTGTTTCAGTGTTCTCTTGTGAGTGTTAAAGTTTTGCAACTTAAAATTACAGGTATGTTACAACTTTAATAAATACTTCAAATTCATATACAAGAAAAACTAGACAGTGATGATCCACTTTGTCAAAAAATGTGCCATTGAATGTCTGTAAATAGCTCATCTATGACAAAATATGGCTTCTCCATAAAATCATGGATATCGAGTAACTGCTTTCTTCTTTTTTTAAATTAACAAATGGTATTGCCAATAGCATCACATTGAGTTGCTATCTTTTCTCCTAAAGATGCCAAAGCACTGCCACATCTGTGACCTTTTTTATACCTTTTCATTGGGTTTGGTAGTTTAACACCTCTTTACCACAAAGTTATTTCTTTTTAGTGATAGGAAAATTGAGGGATTAATAGACTTGTCAGCAATCACAAAACGATGTTATAGCAAAATGGAGCTTACTTTTGATTTGTCCAACTAGGAAATGTTAAAAAAAAAACTTTATCCTGAGTGACCACATATAATATTTAAAAACAAAAAAAACAGAAGTAATATACTCATTAATGAATTTTGTTTGGATTTTCTGTTGCAGCATTTAAACTACATTGTAAAATCACAGAGCTAATGTCTTACATTCTAAGTTAAATTCCCTAATAATATAATACAGGTCTTAGTAGGACATTATGTTTATTATCAGTTTGAAATGCACCCTTTACTTTTACCAAATTGCTACATTTTGCTTGAACTTCAAAGGTCTTTGAAAGTCAAGGAAATCTTCATTATTGAAAAAAAAAAAAAAAAAAGACATTGTTTCACAGTAAACGCAAAAAGAGTATTTGATAAAATACCTCATTATCAAGTAAGCATTTATGCATCTCAATCAAATTGTATTTTTCTTTATAAAAGTATTCATAGAATTTTGTTAGTTCTTTCTCCTTGCATTTTTTTCCCCTTTTGGGTAATATCATACAATGGTCTCACTGAAAGTGTTTGTTAATATGATATTGTCTTAGAAATGGAACCCCAGGAAAATTATAGTCATAAGACAAGTACTGTTTAGACAACTGATATTTATTCCAGCAAATGCTTTGTGAAACCAGAAAACTATTTCTCCATTTTGTATTTTTCTATCAGGTTGATGCAAAAGTAGGCAGTTTTTGCCATCAAGCAAATGGCAAAAACCACAATTACTTTTGCACCATACTAATAACAATTTGGTAATAAAAACATAGAAAATAAGCATAAGCTACTTCTAAACTCTGGAAAAAAAATTGTTCACTGGGATATAGGTAGTCCAATTCTTAACATACAGCACAGGGAATGTTCAATAAATGTCACTGTCTCACTGATAGTATTAATGCTAAAGGGTTACTTCTCTTTGCTAGGCAGTTGCTTAATTTCTTTGGAAAGTATTTTCTTTATCCCATAATGTTTAATGTATCATTATTATTTTAAATATAATATACATTTATTGAAAAAAAAAAGAGAGGTTTTCTTGAGTATCTAGAGTTCACATTCCAGGATTTTCTGACTACTGAATAATTTACCAACTGGTACTGATATGGATAGATAACAACCTAGTAAAATTTTGGGGTATGATGTTTACAGGTGATGAATAGATCTTACTGTAGCAGTTTTTTATTTTCATCAGTAGAAATTGTCCTTAGTTTTTAAGTGCTTTTATTCCACTGCATTATGTTTTCTAAATATACCTCCCATGCATCACTGCAATTTGAAATATTTGAAAAAAGCACTAGGTACAGAAGAAACAGTCAAGTTGGGGGCTCTAAGAGCAGTAATTGAGGATTCCCACAGCCTCCAGTATGGTCTCTGGGTATAGGAATGCAGCCTGGTAATTGCATTAAGACTCTTAGTCTTGAGGCTTGGTACTCCGGGGATCTCTTTATTCCAGTGAGTTAGGCTACCATGTTCCTTATTAACAACTCTCTATACAGGGAGAATGTGTACTTGCATGTACATCCTGCTTTTTATCATTTAGCTATTTAAAGGCTTTCAATTCTTTGTGCACCAGCTTATGAATTACAGTTTTTTGTTTAGATATAGCTATGCCACTTTTTGTCTTCCACATTGATTTCAAACTGACTTGCAAAAATCAGAATTCTTATTTCTTCATGGCAGTTTGATGTAATGAATTCTACATATTTTTTAAGGGCAAATGTATAAAAGTAGCTAGGACCTTTAAACTTGTGGAAAACAATATTTTCAAGAGAACAATTAAACACAAACATAAATCCTTAACCATCTAAATGAGACTTTTAAAAGTTATAAATCAAATGCTTTTCCTAAGATGTCTTTTAACATCTTTAGCCCCCTCCTTACCAGAAATTTGTCCACTTCTTGATCTCTTCTTAATTATCTTTATCTTTCATCTCATAACATATCCTTTTAAGGGGAAATGGTTTCACAGATCACTTTAAGATTTTTCCTTTAAATGTATGATTTAAGAGTGTCATAACAAGTAATCAAGAAGTTTATATAAGATAATGTAAAAAGATGAGCAGGCATATAATAGTCATTTTTCCAAAAGCACCATTGATAACCACTTTAAACAATCTAGTAAATGAATCCAAAATTAAATTAAGCTTTTATAAATTCATATTAGGTTTAACCATTTGCTCTAATTTATTGATGTAAAACTGCCTCTAACAATTACTGAAATTACAGATTTAGAAAGGAAACATTCCATTAGCTATCGCTGCCACAATAGCATAATGTTACTTTGTTCTGTTACTTTGGTCCACCCCCTTAAGAAATAGGGATGTTATTATGTGGTCTTATTTTACATTCTGACTTCAGTCACTTGGGTTTGGAGGGCATGGTTTCCACTAACATTAAAAGATCTAGCTCTATAAATTACAACTAAAGACCTAAAAAAGTCTCCGCAAATTTAATTCTCAAAACATCTTTTGGGATAGAAAGTATTTCTATTCTTCAAAGATTAGAGAACCGAGTTCAATGATTTACTATTTTAAGTTATCATGATATGATTGCTAAAATCTAAGTCTTAATGGAAAGCAAGATTTCATAGTAGTAGATATGAAATCTTGCTTTCCATTAAGACTTAGATTTTACCTAAATGATGACTCTCAGTCTTGAGGTTTGGTACTCCAGGGATCTCTTTATTCCAGTGAGTTAGGCTACCATGTTCCTTATTAACAACTCTCTATACAGGGAGAATGTGTACTTGCATGTACATCCTGCTTTTTATCATTTATTTAAATTTATCATTTAGTTTAATGATAACTGCTTTAGTATGTCAAAGTTTAAGACCCATCCCCATTTTTTTTTTTTAACTGCTTAAAAGAATGGCCTTGCCATTTTCTTTAGCCAGGAATTAACTACAAGATAATAAATTTGCCAATGCTTTCTTTTCATAGTTGTTCTTTGTACTGGGACAGGAAAGGGTGCTTTATCACTCATTATGGTTGTTCGTGGCCCAATCCAAATCATATACACCCTGGCTGCTACTAACAGTTTTAGAATAAACAAAAAGAACTATAATACAGCAGGTTCTACGTTTATAAAGCCCATAAGCTGATTTCGTACTGAAATTAAAAACAGTCTCAAGAATTTAAATGAATCCTGGAATCACAGCAAATTCAGGCAATTTGGGAATATGTTGGTAACCCTTAAAGCTTTTTTTAAAACTGACTTCACCCTGGGCAAGTAACCATCCCTTGATGCGTTGTTGGAGACAGCATTTCTGGCAGGAAGATAATTTTCTGACTCAATCTGGCTTGCTGTTCTTGTTTAATCATCCCCATTTCTCTGTACATTTTACTCCTCTGACTACAATGGTCAACATTTATTTTCAGAAGTTTTCAAGTGATTTAGTTCTTCCAGAACTCTTTTTATCCCATCTCAGTCTTCCCCAGCCCCCATTCCTATCGCCCTCATTTCACTAAGATTTTGCTAAACATTAGAAACGAGCACATGACCTCCAGTCTTCAACGTCTCAGAACAAACCGACATAAAAACGTTTGATTAGCTCGTTTGTAAGCTTCTCTAGGCTTGGAATTTAAAACTGCCTTTAGTTCGTCAATTCTTAAAGAACCTTCAGATCAAAATTTAAATTTAAAAAATTTTAAATAAAGAAACCGCTCCCTTTTTTAACCTTTAGCCCCGCCCATGGCCCCCCCCAACCCAGGTTCCACGAGAAACTGCAGGAAACCGGAGGAGGCGGAGCGGTGACGTCACGACGCCGGTGCGTCACGGAACGGCGGCGGCTGCGGCGCTGGCGGTGGCTGCGGCACCGGCGGCATTTTAGTCGGCAGCGGCGGCGGCAGCGGGGCTGCTGCTCCTCCCAGCATCCCTGGCGCGGCCATTTCAGCCCCATCTTGGCCCAGCTGAGGGAGCTGCAGCGGCCGCTTCAGCAGTTTGAATTTCAGTTTCTCCAGGGTTTAGGAATTGGGCGCACCGAGGAGGAGCCGAAGAAGCCACCACCGCTACCTCACACAGCCGGGGCGCCTCCGCTCCCGAGCCAGCGGTCTGCCGCCGCCGCCACCGCCCCTCTCTGAGAGAAGCCGCGAGGAGAGGCCGAGACCGCCGTCGCCGCCCGCCCGCAGGGGTGGTTCCCCCTCTGAGGGGAGGACCGGGCCGGCTTTCCCCTCCCCCAGAGCGGGTTTCCGCCAGAGACAGTCGACATGTCCCTGGGGCTGAGCTCCGGCTAGAGCCGGGGAGGGAGGGCCGCCTGCCCGCGCCGCAGCCCCACCGCCCGCCCGCGGACCTGCAGCCAGCCCCGGCCCGCGGCTCCCGGCTGAATCAGGCATCTCCAACTCCAGACTCGCCGCTTCAGTCCGAGGGCCCAGAGCTGACGCCGACACCGGCCTGAGGAGCTCGAGCGGGGCAGCACCGCCCCTCACGCCGCGGCCGCCGCCTCCTCCTCCTCCTCCTCCTCATCCTCCTCCTCCTCCTCCTCCTTCTCTTCCTCCTCCTCCTCCTCCTGCTCCTGCTCCTCCTCCTCCTCCTCCTTCTTCTCCTCCTCCTCCTCTTCGCCCTCCCACTCCCACCCCCAACCAAGGCCTGCTGACCGCGCCGAGCTGGACAGACCACCGCTGCTGGGAGACGGGAGAGGAAGCAGCCGGCCCTCCCCTGGGTTCGCGCTCCCGCCGACTCTGAGGGAATTGAATTGAGGCGCCGCGGCTGCGGGAGCTGAAAAGGAAGGAGGAGCCGTCGCGGGACTGAGACGGGGGCAGAGCCGAAGAGACCAACACAGAGAAGGAAACGAGGAGGAGGATGTCTCACTGGGCGGCCAGCGCCTGGATCAGCCCGTGACTGTTACAGCGGCGGGCCTCAGACCCCAGCGCAGACTCGGACTTTGTCTTTGGGGGCCGGTGTTCTGCCCTCCCCGGTTTCTGGCAGGATCCAGAGGAGCCGGCGTGCCTCTCTGCCCTCCAGCCTTCTTCACCATGTCCAAGATGCCGGCCAAGAAGAAGAGCTGCTTCCAGATCACCAGTGTCACCACGGCCCAGGTGGCCACTAGCATCACCGAGGACACCGAGAGCTTGGACGACCCGGACGAGTCACGCACAGAGGACGTCTCCTCCGAGATTTTCGACGTCTCTCGGGCCACGGATTATGGCCCTGAGGAGGTCTGCGAGCGCAGCTCCTCCGAAGAGACACTTAACAATGTTGGGGATACGGAGACTCCCGGGACCGTCTCCCCAAACCTCCTTCTGGATGGGCAGCTGGCAGCGGCGGCGGCTGCTCCCGCCAACGGAGGAGTCGTCGTTTCCACCCGGAGCGTGGCTGGGGCGCTTGCCAGTACCCTGGTGGCGGCCGCCACTTCGTCCCCCGCCTCCGGAGCACCCGGCGGCCCCCAGGTCGCGGGCTCATCCGCTGGGCCAGTGACTGCAACCCCATCTCAGCCTCCCACCACTTGTAGTTCCCGTTTTCGTGTGATCAAGCTGGACCACGGGAGCGGAGAGCCCTATCGACGCGGCCGATGGACGTGTATGGAATACTATGAGAGGGATTCAGACAGCAGCGTCCTGACTAGATCCGGGGATTGCATTAGACACAGCAATACTTTTGACCAGACTGCAGAGCGGGACAGCGGCTTGGGAGCCACGGGAGGGTCGGTGGTGGTAGTGGTGGCTTCCATGCAGGGGGCGCACGGGCCCGACTCGGGAACTGACAGCTCCTTGACTGCTGTGTCACAGCTACCCCCGTCGGAGAAAATGAGCCAGCCCACTCTGGCCCAGCCGCAGAGTTTTAGCGTTGGGCAGCCACAGCCGCCGCCGCCACCCGTAGGTGGGGCTGTGGCTCAGAGCTCGGCTCCGCTGCCGCCGTTCCCGGGAGCCGCGACCGGGCCACAGCCGATGATGGCAGCCTCGCAGCCAAGCCAGCCCCAGGGAACGGGGCCCGGAGGACAGACTTTGCCGCCGACGAATGTAACCCTGACGCAGCCGGCTATGCCCCTGCCTCCGCAGCCCGGCCCGGCTGTCGGCGCTTCTGCGACGCCGCAGCCCCAGCAGTTCGCGTATCCTCAGCCTCAGATACCGCCCGGACATTTGCTGCCCGTCCAGCCATCCGGCCAGAGTGAGTACCTGCAGCAGCACGTGGCCGGCCTGCAACCGCCAAGCCCCGCACAGCCCTCGTCCACTGGCGCCGGAGCGAGCCCCGCCACGGCGGCCAGCCTTTCCGTGGGCACCGGCCAGAATGCCTCTTCGGTGGGCGCGCAGCTCCTGGGCGCGTCTTCCCAGCCCAACGAAGCGGTGCCCCCCCGGCCGGGACCAGCGCAAGGCGGGCAGGTCGCGCCGTGTCAGGCGGCTGGAGTGTCCCCAGCTGCTGTGGGAGGCGTGGTGCAGGCTGGCATGGGTTCTGCCGGGGCTGGGCAGCCCCAGTCCGTGCCTCCGCCGCAGATGGGTGGCAGTGGTCCGCTGTCAGCCGTACCTGGTGGCCCTCACGCCGTGGTGCCCGGAGTCCCAAACGTGCCTGCAGCCGCGCCCGCTCCAAGCGTGCCTGGTGTGTCTACCACTTCTGTTACTATGCCAAATGTACCCGCGCCTCTGGCCCAGTCGCAACAGCTGAGCAGCCATACGCCAGTCAGCAGGAGCAGCAGCATAATCCAGCACGTTGGGCCGCCCTTAGCGCAAGGAGCACACAGTGCACCAACAAGTCTACCACAGTCTGACCTAAGCCAGTTTCAGACTCAAACCCAGCCTTTAGTCGGGCAAGTCGACGATACTAGAAGAAAATCAGAACCCCTACCTCAACCACCACTTTCTCTCATTGCTGAAAATAAGCCTGTTGTGAAGCCGCCTGTTGCAGATGCCCTGACAAACCCCCTTCAGTTAACACCTATGAACAGTCTGGCCACCTCTGTATTCAGCATAGCTATTCCTGTTGATGGCGATGAAGACAGGTATGGAAATCTTTATTTTAAATATTTGATAGAAATGCTTGGCCAACATTGCAGCTTAGGATGCAACTTAGGGAGATGTGTTGCCAACTGAGGTCCTTTAGCATTTTTAAATATAAAACTTAGTGTTTGGTGAAATTGATTTAGGCTGCTGATGCTGATGTCAAAGCGTAATGAGCGAATTGGTCTCGTCACAGTTGTTTAAAAGCACTAAAATGGGTAGGGATGCAACATTGTTTACTCAGAAAGGTGAATTTTAGCTTAATCTTACCGTTTAATGATGGTAGCTAGTATGTTATTCTCCCATAAAATTGTCTGTTTCTTACATATCTGTCTGTTTCTTACATATCAATCATACCCGAACACTTAAGGCAGAGAGATTTGTCAGTGTGAGTTTTGAGGCTGAGACAAAATTACTTACAAGTTTTCCTTTCTTGAAAACCAGAAGGCCCTCTAGTGAAAAAAAAAAAAAAAAAAAAAAAATCCCTGTAAGGAATCTCCTTCAGTGTAACTGGAAAGGCTGGAGACATAATGGTGAAATGTCAAGTCCGGCTTTGAAGATCATACTTAGTTCAGCCTTTTGATTAAAGGAGGTAGCAAGGTCATGAGTCTTCCCAGAGACTTCTCTAAGATATTATTTTTGTTGTTGTTAAGCAAAAAATGTACTGAAAAGATGTTCTCTTCCATCAGTCTTTTTACTATAGCAAAGGGAGGTTGAGATCGATCTTTTAACTGTAGTGAAAGCTATAATTTTTGAAATTAAGACTAAGTTTATAGTGTAAATGTCAATAATTGGTTCCCTGTATATAGGGAAGTTTTTTTAATGTCTTAAATAAGAATTGGTGTATTGCTACACCAGTAATACCACAACAGCTGATATTTGGTTATGGTTTAATGAGGATTTTTAGTGGTTTTGAGAAAATGTCACATGTAAATTGACATACATATTTCAAATTTTTTAAAGCTGACTCGTTGCAATGTTTTAAAATTATATTTAAAAAGTATAGAAAAAGTTTCAATTATTTTACAGTTAGACATTTCTTTGCTGTGGTTTTTGTTAGCGAGAGGCTAATTTTAGGTGTTTTTAAAAGATCAAAACTAATATGGATTTCCAGAATAATTAGTATGTAGACAAATACAATGATATATATGTTAAAGCTTTCTCTTCCTATGGTTTCTTCTGAGTTCCTTCATGTTTTTTTCTTAACTTCTCATTTCTAATTAGCCTTGTATTTTTGTTGTATGCTTGTGTTGGTTTGAAAAATGCTCACTGAAATTTATTCATCTTCTCTCCTTTTTGTAATTTAAAGTTCATCTTTTTTTGTAGGTGACTTGCTTATGGGGAGTCTTTCTTCACTTGAGAACTCTTAGAGAATACCACGTGTCCATAAGTGAGCTCAGCTAGCTAGTCATTGAGAAATTTTGTATGGATGGGACTACCAAGTAAACTGATTCCACAAGCCACTCAGAAAAATCCCTCTACTTCTATAGTTGCTCCCATTGTCACACACACGGACACACCTGTAACACGGATTGAGTTTTATTTTTTCACCTTTGGTAATAATCAACAGGCATCTTCCCTTTCTAGCTGCCAGAAGCCAATTTTTTCCTGATAAGTTGGTAAATAACCTTTTGCTTACCTCTGATCCTATATGCTACCCCATATCTCTTCAAGAAATGATGACCGGTTTCCTGACCTAACCTGCTTTCTGTACACACACACACACACACACACACACACACACACACACCCCCCCCCCCCCCCCATCCATCCTAAGAATGCAGATTACATTTTCCCACCTCTTCACACCTCTCTGAGTTTACAGCATACATAGTTAGATTCCTCAGAACTTTAATACGATGATGAGGCACGAAGCAAAGAGTTCTGTTGATAGATGGAAACTCTGAAATGTATTCTTTAGGGTATGACATCAAAAATGCATTTATTTTTCCTCTTACTGTATTAAGAACTGGTAAGCTGAACAATCTCATTTCCAAATTTGTTAAATTTGAACAACAGATACTACTGTATCAGTGTTCTTATTAATTGCAACAGTTAATTCCTGCAGGGTTTTGATGTAATGTGCAGTCCTATTTTAAACATGACACTTCCCTCCCACACCCCAATCATTTAAAATCTACATTGCTTACCAAATGTTCATTTCTAATTTTTGTTATAGTCTTTCATTGGTTTTTAACTTGACATGCTAGTTTCCAAGATGTAATCTTACACATTTGACTGTTTTGTCACTGGTTCAACATACCTGGTGAAGGAATAAATCCATTAAGTAGAAATAGTTTTTTGTTTTGTTTTTGTTTTTGTTTTTTTTTAATAGAAAGCATTGGTTAAAAAAAAAAAGGCAGGGCATTTAAAAATTTTGTGTTTGAAATTAAATAACAGTTTTCTAGGCATATGTTTAAATTACTGGGATGAATACTTTTGAGGAGACAGTACTATCGTAACTGAAAATTTTAATTTTTATGTGATTTTGGGTTGCCACCTTAAATCTGCATACAGTGTTATATGTAGTCATTCAAATGTTAAATAAAACCAACTAGAGTGAGAGGTCTTGAGTAATTATGATTTAAACTTTGTAAGTAGTTTGACAAATTTCATCTCCTAAGGAAACATTTGTAAATAAGATGTGTGCTTTTTAAAAAAAAATTTTTGGACTTTAGTATACAGTCTATTTCTTTGAGAAAAGGAAGGAAAATGGGAAATTAAAAAGTTTAAGGTAGTTTAGATTGATACATTGAAAACTATCTTGTGATTTTGTTTCCAGTACCTAATACAAAGTTCTGTATTGGCTCAATTTTGAAATCAGTTATAATTAAAGAACCTTATAGTAATACATGTTAATACTATCACATCTTTAAAAGGCTGATGCTTGTATATGCAAAAAGTTCTCAACTAGCATTGCCTATTGACTACATTATTAATTACCATAAAGTTTATCTTTCTGGCCATTTTCATTAGAAAGGTTTATGGTCAGCTGTTGAGACTCTTGAAATTGATTTTGTGTAAACCGGTGGATGCGATGGTTGAAAATATAGTTCTTAAAGTCTAGTTACTTTCATAGTGAACTTTACAAAATTTGTTTAACACACTTAACAGTCTCCTGTAAATGAGAGGAGGTGCAAAATATTACTGGCCCTTTTGGAAAAGGAACACAGTACAAATCACTTTCCATAGATAGCCGACCAATGTGAACTCTGTAGGCCGCATTCCAGGAACTCTTATGAATGGCTGCAATTGTGAGCTGTCATCTGTGTCCAAAAGACTGTGGAAAACCTGAATCTAAGGATCCTTTGGTGTAGATATTTCTGTCTTGTTAATGGTTTTATTTGTGTGGTTTGCTAATGACTACTGATAAAGTATTATACATTGTGAATGTTAAGTGGTGTGTCCTGGTATGTGCTATAAATACACATTTTATTTGTATATATTTTAAACAAAATTCCGCTCTTTTTTCTTTTTTTTACTCTAAGTATATACCAGGAGGCAGAACTGCCTTGATCTTAGACCTCTGTTATATGAAAGTCTCACTGTATTGAAGTCTCTAAAGATGGAAATTCCTTACTTGAATCTCTGTTTCTTGGGAGCTTACATTTATCTGTTGGATCGTGAAGGTAATTTGGCTCTTGTAGGTTTACAGTTGATGTGTAAATCACATACTGGTTACTATCTTCTGCCTATCTACACCTTTAAGAGTGGTCTTACTGAAGAGTTAGTAATAAAAATATAAAATCATACATATGTGATACATTGTTTAGTATAAAAACTGATATTGGTGTATTCATCAGAGGTGCCACACAGATTACTAAAAATACTTTATTCATAAACATAGCTCGAAATAAAGGAAATGACAGATTTCCAAAAAGCCTTATGATTTTCCAAAGTACCCAAAATTCCCAACCCATGAGCTGTATCTGTAGAAGTGTGGCCTTTTATATTCACAGTGACACATCTTATATAAAATTTTATGTGGACTAAATCATATAGGCCAAACATAGGTAAATTTTTTATAGAAAACATGATGGCTTGTATGTGCTGAATAATACAGATTACAGTAATTATTTTAGTAACACTTGTTGTTTCTCTTTAGGAGATCACAACCCTTGAACTAAATCACCTTTATGAGAAGTCATTTTATATAGAACTGGTGGTAGGGGTATATATGTTCTCTACTTCCTGAGAATAAATATAATGCCAATTCATTTGTTATTTAAGAATCCTGCACCAGGGGCAGTAGCCCATGCCTGTAATAGCAACACTTTGGGAGACCAAGGTCAGAGGACTGCTTGATGCCAAGAGTTTGAGACCAGCCTGGACTACATAGCAAGGCTCTTCTCTACAAAAAATTTAAAAATTAGCCAGGTCTGGTGGCACCCACCCATAGTCTTAGCTGTTTGGGGAGGCTGAAGCAGAAGGATTGCCTGAGCCCAGGAGCTGGAGGCTACAGTGAGCGATACTATAATATTGCACTGAAGCCTGGGCCACACAGCAAGACCCTGTCTGTTAAAAAAAAAAAAAAAAAAAAAAAAAAAAAGAATGCTGATAGCACTAATTTGGAAATAGTGAAATATGGTACTGGGTCTAAGAATGGGAGTCTATCTTTCTCTGCACCCGAAAAGATCAGAATCAGTTATGAACAAATAGCAGTCCGGCTAATGAAGTACTAAAAATCTGTTTCCTAATAAAGTAATGGTAGTTAGGAAAGTATAAAAGAATTCTGACCTTCCATTCCTAAAATGGCACGAGTTGGGGGAAGAGAAGTGTAGAATGATAGCAGATAACCAAGACAGAAGAAAATACAGTAGAATGGCATGAAATATAGTCTCAAAAGAAATAGGAACACTTGTGCATACTGAGGAACAGTGTTCTCATTCTTTCTTTGAAGAATTGTTTTAGTCCAGTGTTTATTTCCTTTTCTGAAGATTCTGTTTATTTCTTAATTGCATTACTCTTTAAATACTTACAATATGAGGAAGGAGAAGCTTTA